GGGGTGGTTTCGAGTACTTCGTTACGTTTATCGATGATTACTCGAGATATGGATACGTTTTCCTTCTGCACTGCAAGTCTGAATGCTTTGAGAAACTCTTGGAGTATAAGGCAGTTGTGGAGAAGCAGTTAGGAAAAAGTATCAAGTCATTACGATCGGATCGTGGTGGGGAATATCTCTCGAATGAATTTAGGAGCTACTTGACGGATAATGGGATTACGTCCCAGCTGACTGCGCCTGGCACGCCTCAGCAGAATGGCATAGCAAGACGGATGAACATGACTCTTATGGAAATGGTTAGGGCAATGATGAGTTATAGTACATTACCAGATTCGTTTTAGGGATATGCCCTAGAAACAGCGGTATACATTCTGAATAGAGTACCTTTTAAATCAGTACCGTCTACACCATTGGAGTTGTGGTCTGGGCATAAGCCTAGTCTAAGACATCTCAGGATTTGGGATAGCCCAGCACATGTGCTGAGAACCGATACTGATAAGTTGGAACCGAGATCAGAAGTAAGGCTGTTTGTGGGATATCCTAAGGAAACGAAAGGTGGTCTATTTTATAGTCCCGAGGACCAGAAAGTAATCGTTACCACGATTGCTAGGTTCTTGGAAGAAGACTATGTCTTAGATCATAAGCCCAGTAGTAAACATGTTCTTGAGGAATTAAAGGGAGTGAGTACTTCAATACCAAGTGCGTTAGATGTTACACCACAAAGTACTGCAACACGTATCGCTGATGATGCACCTAAGCAGGTAGTACCTCGTCGTAATGGGAGGTTTGTCCGGCAACCCGAACGGTTCATGGGTCTGGGAGAGTCTTCTGAGGCCGTCCCGGACGTTCTTGAATCCGACCCATGGACATACAATGAGGCACTCCAAGATCGGGACGCAGAGTCTTGGCAAAAGGCGATGAAATTTGAATTAGAGTCAATGGACATTAATCAGGTCTGGGATCTTGTAGAGCCACCCAGTGGCGTTCGCGCCATTGGATGCAAGTGGGTCTATAAGAGAAAGAGAGGATCAGATGGGAAGGTTGAGACCTTTAAAGCTAGGCTTGTTGCGAAAGGGTACACTCAGAAAGAAGGGATCGATTATGAGGAAACCTTTTCGCCGGTAATCCATCAGGATTCTCTTGGCTGTGGCTGCTCATATGGATTATGAGATTTGGCAAATGGATGTTAAGACCGCTTTTCCTAACGGGAATTTGGATGAGGACATCTATATGCAGCAACCAGAAGGATTCATTGCAAAGGGCCAAGAGCATCTGGTCTGCAAGCTGAAGAGGTCCATTTATGGGCTGAAGCAGGCTTCGAGGTCTTGGAACATCCGTTTTGATGAGGTTGTCCAATCGTATGGATTTACCCAATGTCGGATGAGCACTGTATACAAGAAAAGTGATGGAAACGTGGTGGTGTTTCTAGTGCTGTACGTGGATG